AAAAAAAACCCCCCTTTTTCGGAAAAAAAGGTTTCATTTCCCTTTATCTTTACAAGAAACTCGACATATTGCATGAAAGTGTCAATGTCCTTGACTGTTGCAGAGATGAATCAGGCCTGTGCTACAATAGCAGGATCCGCTACTTAGAAAAATCTGAAGTCACTAAAAGAAAAGAGATCTCCTGCCCAGACATGGATGACTTTAAAAAATCTGATCAGGAGCCTGATGTTGTATGGTATAAGGTAACTCAGCATGGTGTTAAATGCATTTTTTACCTTAAGTCAATAACTGGTTTATGGATCGGAAAAGGGAGAGATTTTATTTATATTTTTGGTATTAGATATTTTACTGAGAATTCAGCAGATCCATAATTAAATAATACAGAGCTATAAATTTTATATAACTCTGGTTTTCATGCACTTCCATCAGCAGTTGTCAGAAACAATCCCACCTTCTGCAACTGCTAAGCAATAAGTAAAATCTCCCTTCACTCCAATTAATGAGAGCAAATGGGAAGAGTTAAGATTTAAGAAAATATTTGAATGACGTATAAATATGATTTACTGTTAGGGACAAAGCCCATAATTACTAGTAATAGTACTTACAAAAAATAGCAACTGTTATCATGATCTGCATTGTGAGAGCCACTGCAGTTAATGCAGAGGAGAAAAATGGGCCCAGTATAGGTTATTGAACACAAGAAATAACATGTTTAACTAGAAATAAAATTGAACAGAAGAGAGTTACATGAAGTATTTATTGAGGTGTGGCATGGGTAAGGAGCTGTGTCACTGGAACCTGGCAAGAGTGGTGTGGGCCTGTCCAGAGCTGTAGCCTTAGTGGCACATATGGACTGTGGCAGAGATAGGGATGTTGAGAAGGATAAATACTCTAACCCCTCTTAACGCCTGCCTTCCAGTTTCTTGCTAGTACTTCCCCCTCTCCTCAATGTGAACTCAAACAGAAATCAGAGGGCAAAACCAGGAGTTAGAATAAATAGTTTTCAGCTTCCCTGGTGATAAAGTAGGGCAGACAAGGGCAGAGATTAGATTTAGGGGAAGAAGTAGAGAAATAACCTTACAATATTTAAGCTATGATAGTTTGACTGCTAGCCAGAGGCCCTGCAGTCCTATAATAGGACTGAGCAAACTCTACAAGCTCTTGGCCACAGTGGTTGAAACATGGTAGAGTTTTTAATATGATGACCAAGGAGGTTTTCTACATAGGTGTTGTGCACATTGTTGAAACAAAATATACATAAAATGTGTAATAGGTTGTTTCTATAGGATCTGACAGACCCTTAGTTCTCAGGGAAGCCTAAATCCTAACTCCTACAGCTGCCAGTGGTTTTACATTTGGAAGCCTTTCCATTTGACACCCGGAGAACTCAATAATAGATACCAAGAACATGTCCTGAACTAGAACTTCAAGCTTCTATGAGAATTGTCCTCCCCCTTTTTTATTTTTTAAGGAAGATAAGATTCTCACAGGTAAAAGGAGCATGGATATTATGTTAAGTGAAATAAGCCAATCTGAGAGAGACACATATAAAATGACCTCACTTATTCTTGGAATCTAATGAGCAAAATGAAATCACCAACAAAATAAGACCCAAAGCAGGGAAGCATGGAACAGATGGACATACCTCAATGTGGGGTTTGGGTGAACAAGAAGAGATAAACCAAAGGACTTATATACTTACTAGAGGCCCAGTGCACAAAAATTTGTGCACTCTGGGGGGGGGGAGTCCCTCAGCCCGGCCTGTGCCCTCTCGCAGTCTGGGACCCCTTGAGGGATGACCACCTGCTGGCTTAGGCCCAGTCCCTGGGGGACTGGGCCTAATGTGGGAGGTCAGACATCCCTCTGGCAGCCCGGGAGCCTTTGGGGATGTCCACTTGCCAGTAGGGA